AAAAAAAAAAAAAAAAAAAAAAAAAAAAAAAAAAAAAAAAAAAAAAAAAAAGAAAAAAGAAGGAGGTTGTTAACAATATTAAGAGGAATAGAGAGGTATCTAATTTCTGTCATCAAATACGTTTTCGCACCTGTTTGTCAATCAGCTCTATGATCTCAACATGTCTTGGAAGTAGTTTCTGCATTAGATCATAACTCCATTTCTCCAGGGCTTCCGGTAAAACAGTATGGTTTGTATATGCCACTGTTCTGCAAAGCACATTTTGTGGCATGAATAAAAACAATTATGCCGCTGACAAATTGAAATTGTAAATAAAATAAAAACAATTACACCACTGCCATTTGTTTGACTCGAACCAAATGGAGATGGTTAATCCAGAAAGTAGACATTTATACGAGAAGAATTAGCAGTTTAATATTGCAAGATGGTTGATCCAAACACAAGTCAAAAAATTACCTTTGTGTAATCCTCCAGGCTTTCTCCCATGTCAGGCCTTTAACGTCCATCAAAATTCTCATTAGCTCTGGGATGCATAGTGTTGGGTGAGTGTCATTCATCTGAACAGCAACTTTATCAAGAAACTCTTCCCATTTCACATTGCCACCAGATGATCTTCTCTCATACCGTATGATGATGTCTTGGAGAGATGCTGAGCACAGTGTGTATTGTTGTTTCAGTCGGAGAATCTTTCCCTCCTCCGATTCGTCTCCCGGGTAAAGTGTATAACATATCTGGTTTCAAAGGGAAAATTTGGACAAAATCACATTTCACATGAGAAAATTTGGACAAAATGGTCATTTTGAAGGTGGGATTAAAATGTCCCACCCTCAAGACCGGACAAAACAATCGGCCAATCAATCCCAACAGTGTGGGACCCACGTGACACATCAGCATATTATCCCATCCGATCAAGTTTTGTAAACGTCGGATAACAGGAGTTATCCGACCATATCCTATCCCATCTTGGTAAGTAAACGAGGCCTTATTCTTAAAAAATAAGTGTTGACTTTGTGATTCATATCCACCCCAGAAAGAAAAAAAAAGAGTGTATGTGTGTGTGTGAGAGAGAGAGAATCAACTGTATCCACTGGTATCTTCACATCACACTAGGATCATTCCAAGTAGAATTCAATGACTTAATCCAGAAATAAAATAAAAAAAAAAATAGTAGAAAAGGACTATGATAAGGAAGAATCATATATACAAATAGCAAAAACTTACTTTCTCTGCATTAGCCTGAGCCTCGCATGCTTTGGTGTGGTCTCCAGCATTAAAGGCAGATAAGTCAAACTGAGAAGATGGTACTTTAGTGGACCACAATCTTAGATTGTTGGTCGTTTTGGTCTTATATCCTGGTATTGGCACATCATATGCAACAGCCACTATGTCCTCACCACCAATCCATCTACTTTTTCCATCCGAACTCGTAACAACTTTACCATAAAATTTCACAGGATAAGTGACATCATTTCTGACAATTTCCCATGGGTTGCCAATCTGAAAGTTCAATGTAAGTGTTTTAGAGGATGTTATCAACTGGAAAAATTAAATAAATAACTAAATAATATGTCCAACAATGACTACAGGTGTCTGTTGTTGCAAAAAGGAAATAATAAGGAAAAACAGCAGAAATTAATGAAGCAAAACAACTTTTGATCAACAAACCAAATCAAATGGTTTAGAAAATTACCATCATGAAAACAACGTAAAATATGTGAACATGAGAAGAATACCTCCAGCCAATTCTCAGCAACTTCCACTTGCCCATCCTTTGTAAGATACTGCTTAAATAAGCCATGTTTGTATCTAAGCCCATAACCCCAGGCCGGATAATTTAAGGTTGCCAAAGAATCAAGAAAACAGGATGCAAGCCGGCCCAAACCTCCATTTCCAAGAGCAGCATCTGGCTCCTGAAAAAGATGAAAAATGCAACTGTCAAAATATATAATGCAGGCAGATCATACACAACGACTATAACTGACAAACATAGTATGTAAATATTAACGATTATTATGCAGTTTACTTCAATTTAGGTACAACCCAAATAATTGTAAAGCAACATGACCTGAGAAGCTACTGTTTCCAGAGTGTGGCCAAGCTTTTCCAGAGCATCGGCATATTCACCAGTGAGCTCTAAGTTACCAATTGCATTCGACAAGGCTCTACCCTGCATAGAAAAGATAAATTTTGCAGTAAAGAATGTAATCACTATATCTCGGCAGTGTCTGGTATGAACTAATAAAGTAGTACTGCACTTCTGAAGCTCGTCAAAGAAGATAAAATTTAGACGAACCTGTAGAAATTCCATAGACAAATAGTAGGCGTGCTTTACGTTCATCTTCTCATAGAAATCATATGTTGCATTCCAGTTAATAATAAGTGCATCACGCACGCTTTGTGCAGTGGCAAAGAAAGCCTTGGTTGGTTCAAAGTTTTCAGGAGAAAACAAAGGTGTGAACTCTGCATGATACTTGATGATTGAAGCAATAGATGCAGCATCAGGGGGAAAAGAACTCGAATCGTGGAGAACTCCTGAAATCATCCAAAGAATCCAAGAAATAAAATGAGTATATGATCAAATCAGAAATGAAGATTGGGAAAGAATTATTTAATTGGCAATAGCTACTAGACAAGTCAAAAATTTACTTTCGATTAAATTATTCGATTTGATCATTAACTACAAGTGGCTGATAACTCAAATCTGCCATCATCCAGCTAACTGATCTGCAACATATAGAGCCTAATTGAAATTTAGCTGCACTATATGATCTTGTGGACATCATTAAACAGAAATTGCTGGACAACTAGGCACAAAATCGCTACAACGGTAGTCTAGTAATTAACTGTGTCATCAGATACAAAAAACGAAAAGATTGAAATCTCTGTATGCCTATTCCTGCAAAGCTCCAAATTTCAGCTGTGTTCCATCAACACCAAATTCAGCATTTTCAGAACACCACTCTCCTTACATTCAACCTAAAGAAACTTGAGCTTTTCACAAGCTAAGAGGCGAAAAAATCATAACTTCACCAAAAAGAATCGAAACCCATTTTCACACACACACAATGAAACGCACCTTCTTCGATGACAGGCTCCATCGCCCTCTGCTTCGGCTCGCTGGAGACGCACCTCACGCGGAACGACTGTTTCGCCCTCGCCCACGAGAACAACGCGCTCGAGCTCCGGTTACCCGAGCTGAAACCAATTAGCCTTGCCGTGGGGTTGGAAGAACACCGCGAGTGCGCCGTCGCCGCTCCTCCGCCGGAAGCCGCCATTTCTGCTCGGTCGCTGTAATGACACTCTTTCTCTCTCTAAAACAAGCCGGCGACCGCTTGCGTGTACTGATCGCGAAGGTGAATGAGAAAGAAGAATGAAAAATAGCAAGAGGACAATGAGTGATGGAGTGGAGCTACTTGTCTGTTCGTCTTTGTACGCATAAAATCGCCATTGGTGTTTTCACGTGCTGTGATGTGTAGGGCCTGACTGAAACTCGAGGTCGCGATCCTCTGCGCTCGGGTCTCCAGTTTATCGGTGGACCAGCATTACTATGGGCCTGGAAACTCTCGATTTTTATGTGGGCTTATGTTGTTTCTCAGAGGTTCCTAATATATAGGCCTAAATTGCAGCCCGTTTTTGTACCAGCTAGATGTCGTGTCTTGAAACCAGTGTTATTAAAACACGGATAGCGTAATGTGTCGTGTTTTGATTTTTATACTACATAGCGTAAATAGCGTTGCGTATTCCTTAAGCTATTTCGGTATAATTTTTTTATATAGAAATATTACAAGTATATTTTCATATAATAAAAATGGATGGTTAATTACAAAAATTATCATATTATTTGAATAACTTCAAAAACACATCTAAGGATTAATTCTCACAAATGTCTAATGTAAATATCATTATAATATAAATATTTAATAATAAATCGGATATACTAAAAACTAAAAACAAACAACGAAAATATAATAAGGTAAGTCATAGTACAACTTGAAGTATATGCATTTTAGTTATTATATTTTTATTTAACTACAATTTAATTCTAACCATTAGATATGAATTTTTTTTTCTCTATTTAAACGTAAAATATTAAAAAATAAAATGATATAACAAAAATGGACAAAAAAAATATTGCACTATTCAACTTAGGACTTTGCATTTTCAAACTTTTTATTTGAAATCAATATCAAAATTTTTAGTTTTTAATTGTCATTTGTGAATATGACTCTAATCCCAAAAAAAAAAAATACGAGTTTTTGAATATTTTATTGTTCAAATGTCGTTGCAAAAATAAATCGCAATGTAGTGTACAATAACGTGAAATAGCGTAAGAAAGCGTGTTGTTTCAACATTTCGCGTAAGTTGTTCGGGAAAACGCTAAATGTATAAGGCTATGTCGCTTTTTTTCCGAAAAAAAAAAAAAAAAAAAAAAAAACTATATAGCGAGTTATTTAAAACAATGCTTGGAACTAACTAATGTGTATTCACTCCAACAGTTTTGCTATGGAGCAATCGGATGGCTCAGCTTATGGAGCAATCCACACTTGTTCACCAATAGTATATTGACACGGACTTATTAATTAAAATTTGTTTTTAACTTTATTTAAATATAATTATTTATATTTAAACATCTCATTTTTTGTTTCCTATATGCATTTTTCATAATTAATAATTACCATGCAAATAAAATAACTAAAAAATTGAAATAATTAATTTCTATTAAAAAATAAACAACTAATTCATTATCATTCATATTAAACATGACATCCCATTAATAGATATTATGCATATTAGATAAATAATATAAAAATTTCATATATAAATATGACGCATATTAAATAATTAGTAGCAATAAACATGAAAATAAATAATTCAATTATTGTGAGCATTAATAACAATTCAAGAAATATATGAAAACTGGTAATACAGTCCATATTGGAACTGACTTTCCTATCACTCAAGGAATTCTGACATATCATATGTCATACATGCGTAAGTTCTTTGGGCAAAATAAATAAATAAAAAAAGCAACTTCTTTGTCAAAAAAATCTCATCTGCAACTGATCAATCTCGTATGAAAAAAAAAGTCTAGCATAAGAACGTGCAGTCACATAAATTGCGTGTGATTAATTTAATTAGGAAGTAAATCTCTCTCCCTCGCAACCAAAACAAAAATATTTCATTATGTGAGATTGATTTAAATAATTAAATTTTAAACTTAGATATAACAACCAAATTCGGGATTTTTTAATTTTTTTTTTTTTTTTTGAAAAATATTTCCAAAGAAAATTAAGAAGACTCCACATAACATCAGAGATGTAAAGGACTTTTAATAAAATATGAAATATTCAAACTTAAGAATTTAATATTTGTTTAGTCATTATTATTAACTTATATATAGATATATATTTTTTAAAAAGCATTATTTGTTAAAAAGTATATATTTTACTGTCTAATTTATTGAACACAAAATAAAAATGTGAAGGATTAACATATTATTTTTATTATAATTACTTATACATAGATTAAAAAAAAAAAAATAGGAATGTTTGAAAACTTAACTACCTAATGAAATATTTGATTTAAATAATGTAGATACTATAATCATATAATTTAGTTTCTACGTTTATGGTTTATAATTATCCTATAACTTCCAATTCTTTCTAATTGACCATAGCTTTCGGGTATACTCAGAAATTTTGAGATTATTACTTGAATTTTCTTCTTTTAAGTAGTGATTCCAAATTTTGGGAAAGATTGATAAATATTTTAATTTATTTATAATAAATGTTAAAATGGAGAAAGGAAAAATACTCCCAACATCTTAAGAAATTGAAATTTAAAAGTCAACAAAAAAAAAAGTAATAATAGAAAAAAAAAAAGAATATAGGAAATAAATAAAATTGTCATGTTCCATAAGAAGAATTTAGAATAAATACTCGACAATTTATTTGACTTACCATTGTTGATAATTCTAGATATCTAATTAGGGATATTAAAATCAAATGAAAACAATAAAAAAAAAACAGAATTTAAATATGAACATCAAGATAAGATGGAATGCATATCTATTAAAAACGATAAATTATGTCATTTTTAAAAATTCTGAAAATTTAAAAAAAAAATCATGGACGGGAATTGCCCAAAAATTTCAAAAACATTTCCATAAGTAGTAAAAACCGAGAATTTGAGTGGAAATTGTAATGCTATTTTTATTTTTTTATCATATTGCTATTATATAGTAATAGATTATAGATTAAATTACAGATTAAATATGTCAATATCTAATTCTTTTGGAATTTAATTTCAAAGATTCAATTTTAGTTATAAATTTCATTAGCTTTTGGTTTTCACAAATAGGGGCACGCAGTCTACAAACGGACTACCAAATGTTTTTGTTAAAGAAATATAAATAATAATAATAATAATAATAATAAAATGCTCTTTGAATGTGTTAGGAAAATAGAGAATTTTAATTGTCAACTCACTATTGTCCCTAATCAAACACATAATGTCACCAACGAACTCGACTCACCGGCTCCAACTCGTCCATTTTGATTTCGAGTCATATTTTTATTGGTCTATGAATATGAATTTTTCAAGATACGTGCATGAGACACAACATGCTAATTAATCAACGGATTCCATTGTCAACTCCCCCTATCGAAAATAGGTTCGACTAGCGATTTCGAGCCTTTTTTTGCTCGGACCACAAATTCAAAATGTAGGACCCGTGTCAACAATCATGTGTTTTCATTGTAGATAAAAATATAATTTTTCACGTCAAACTCCCAATATCGGTTTGACCTCATCGACCCTCCATGTCAATCTCCATGCTACCTTTTTTTTTTTTTTTTCATTCGTGACACTCATGTAGTCGAAAAACCTCGGTCTTACCCTATGGGGCGCTGCCACATTAGGTTTTGGTCATTAATTTATACATACTCATATTTGTATGTGAAATTAATGGCCAAAAACCCATGAAGACACATAAATACCAATTTCTACATGTAACCTCTCCCTCTCTATATCGTTGTGTGAGCTAGGCATAAGTTTTTGTATTTGTATCCTCCATTTGTAAAACATAAAGCCTATGCATCATAGTTCTAAGAAGTGGACCGGACTGGTATGTTGGATCGAGAATCGATCTCATGACAAGTTTATTCTTTTGGGAAAGTTGTTTGATAAAGAATTGGTTAAAAAGCGATAGAACCGAGCAAAAACCAACCCGTCGGAAGGTTCTTATTTTTATTTTTCTTTATATAGTTACCTTTAATATTTTAAATCTTTATAAATATCATAAAATGTATATGTATAAATTATTATATCAATTAGCTATTTCAAATTATCAAACAATGTAAAAGATGCATATATGTATATAATTTAATACTAATAATATTATACGTAGTTTAAAAATATTAACAAATTAACTAGCGGTCCGATCAGATTCGATCCTTGATCTTACTAATGTACCATTGAACCGGTTGCTTCATCGTCCGATTTAAGAACCTTATTATTTATTTAGATATTAAAATTAAGAGATTGAGATTGTGGAAAATAAATAAATAAATTAGCATTTAATTTACAATTTGTCATTAATTTAATTGGTAATGGCAATATCGACACATAGCAGATAGCACGGACCCATCAAATCCGAGACCGCAGCAGAGATTCCGGCGGAGAAACAAAAAATGGCCTCGCACCACCACCACCTCAGCCACCGCCCCACCGCCGCGAGCTTTTGCTGCTGTTGCCCTCCCTACCCGCCGTGCCACCACCATCCCCCGCCGCCGCCGCTGCCGCCTGATTGCCACCCAATTTACCACCATCCTCCCCAACCCCACCTCTATCCCGCCCAAACCCCAATCTCCGATTCGCATCAGCACCGGCCCAGTTTTCGAGAGCTTTATTACGACGAAGAGAGAGAGACTCAACACACCATCGCCTCCCTCCTCCGCCGAATCGCCGCCCTGGAATCCGCCCTCCGCGGCCGCACCTCCTCCTCGGCGTACTATCTCCGCGACGCCGCTGCTCGCACCATCCAGGCTCACTTTCGAGCCTTCCTTCTACGCAGATCGAGGACTCTTCGGCAGCTCAAGGACCTCGCTTCCATCAAGTCTTCGCTCGGCGTTCTCAAATCATCAGTCACCAAGCAAATCCTGTTCGATTACGACCTAATGTATCACCAGGCCATGGAATTGGCTCGAAAACTTGATACTGTTCAGGTAAATGAATGAAGTCTTGCTCTGAACGCACTGTACATTTTTTCAATTTAAGTTTATTCATTTACTTCTGTACATGTGCATTTTTAAATTTGAAAATGCATATCTGATGTTTCCTTTTGTTGGCGATTATAATTTGAAGGGTGGTGATCCAATGATTCAAGATGGGAAAAATTTAGTGAAGAGAGAATTAGTTAAATTTATGGATTTTATGGACGGATTTTATATCGAGCGGGTGAGCTCTTCGAGTGGAGTGAACATGAGATACAAACAGAGTAATTCAAGAATTAGGGTTCCCAATGGTAAAAGAGAAATGGGAAATTTGAAATCCGGGAGTGCGAAAAATGTTACCATGGAGAAATTGAGGGGGCTTGTTGAAAGAATTGAAAAAATAAAAGAGGAGCTTGATGAGGACGAGGAAAACAGTGTTATTGATGGCTCTGATGTCTTTGTGCAAAACCATTGTGTCTCTGGCATCAATAACATGAATTTAGCTAATCAATATTATAGGGCTCGACCCAAATTGAAAAAAAGCGTGAGTTTTGCCGATGATGGGGAGATTTGTAGGGTGCTAAACAGAAATTCGGAGTCCATTTTAGAGGATAATGATGATGATAATGGTGATAGTGTTGGTCTGGTTAGAAGAGATTTCGAGAATGGTGATGTTGGTAGAGAAGTTGAAGAAAATGAGGTTTTATCAAAGGAAGATGATGATGGTGAAGAAGATGAAGTGGAAGCTCACTTGGAAAATCTTAGGAATGAATGTATTATGCAGAGGAAGATGTACAAGCAAGGTGAAGATGATGGTATCGATTTTTCAGTTCCGTTGCCTTTAAAGATGGAAAAAGGAGCCAACTTTATTGACAAGAGGAAGAAATTGACTCTTGATTTATAGTCACTCGCATTGCGGAGGAGAAATTTGCGGCATTGTTGTGTTTTTTAGCTTTTGATTTGTATGTTTACTGTTTGTTGTTGAGAGGATAAGACTGATGATGTTAGAACTTCAAACTATTTGGGATCGCAACTATTTGCCTCGCATTTTTTATGTTGGTTGTAGAACAATGTCATCAACTCAAGTGGTGGGCCTTTTTATGTTTTATGCTATTTTCTTCGTGAGTCAATGAACTGCCATGGATTTTCATCAGTGGTGACCTTTTTTGTGCCTTCTTGGTTTATTAATCTTGTTTTCTTTTCTTTGATAGAGAGAAGAATGTTCGAACTTTAGAAGGGTCCTAAAGTTCTTCATTTTTTATGCTTTACTTGTTGTAGAGGCAGTGTTCTTTATCAGTTTGTTATATGTGCCCCAGCTGGGTGTGATTATTCATGGGTCGATTGTCTGAGGTGGAGTTTTATCGGGCAGTTTTGGGGGTAATTCTTTGAGCGGAACAAACAAAAGGGTATTTGTGAAAATGCAAGGTAAAACTATAGTTTTTTGGAGCTCCATCATTAGCAGGTACTTTGAAGATAGCCATGCTAAGGAGGCTTTGTTGTGTTTTCTGAGGTCAAATGATTTGATCAATATCTATGTTTTAGGGTTTAGGGTTTAGGGGGCTTCATGTATAATTGATTAAATGTGTTAGTGATGTGTTGGTCATACAGTTATACTGTTTTAACTTATATATATAATATAATATGTATATATATATATTTTTCAGAAATGTCATACTTTAATAAACAACATAAAATTAATACATACCTTTTTAAATTGAAACTAGTATGGTACCCGTGCGCAGCACGGCGGGTTATTTCCTCAAACCTTTTTTTTTAAACTTTATTTTAAATATTTTTTATAAATTAATAATTTAATTACGATAGAAAGAGGATAAAGGAATACAAAATATAAACAAAAATCATATACTATTAAACACTTCTCTATACACAACATTACTGGTTTGATTCTTTTTCAAACCTTCTTCTCCACAAATTAAAATTTTCAGACTCTTTCTGTTAGTAACACGGGAGACAACGACATATAACTAGCCATGACTAAAAACTGGTTTCTTCAAGAATAAGCCAACATGCGATAATGATTGACCTTGACTCTTGTTTATAGTCATTGCGTACGAAACCATAATGGAGAAGTGCCTTCTTTGAAATTTGAATGGTACTCTAACATCAGAAGGAGTTATTGTCATCCGATGTATTAAAACTTTATCACATGCATGATCGCCAGTAAGAATTTTACACTCGAGAACATGATTGGAGAGTTTAATCACAACCAATCGTGTACCATTGCAGAGTCCCATTGAGTGATCCATATTCCGCAACAACATAACTGGAGTTCCGACCTTCAAATTCAATTAATGGTTCGGCGTTCCAGAACACTTGATAGTGTTCAAGAACTCAGGAGTATGGAGTTGTGCCACAAATTCGGTATTGGAGTCGGATTTACACGTACTGTATGAACTTAAATACATGCGTCCCTCAGTCAAATTTAACGACGGCATGTATTCATTAATAGATTCTACGATGTGTTGGCGCAAGTATAGCTCTATCCTTTAAGTAACTTGGATCGTCGCTAGCATTCTTGAACATCGGAAATGTGCTTTCAACAATTTTTGCAACTGGATCATCGAATGGCTCTAGTGATAGATCATTTGGTATGTCTATCAGAGAACATCCATCATTTTACCCCTCAATGTTCATCTCCAATGCTCGCTATCCAATCAGCAAAAGCGGCCAACTCGTCACGTTCATTCGAATCGCCAATGCTACGAAGACGCATATTCTTTGTAAGCCTAAGCTCAGTACATTCTCCCTAAATGCTAGAAGAGTTAATAGCAGCATTAACAATCTCCTGACGACTACCCTTTGGAACTACCGGAAGGATTTGTAGAAAGTCTCCACCAAACACAACAGTCTTGCCTCCGAACAGTTTATGATGATTTGTCGGGTCGAGGGCTCCCATTACTGTTTAAAAGATGCTTGAACAACTTCAAAACTATGTTTATGCATCATTGGGACCTCATCCCATATGATCAATGAAGAGCGAATAATTAAGTCAGCAAGGGGGCTAGCCTGATTGATCTCACACGATGAATTTTCATGCACAGAAATATGAATGCCAAATCGGGAATATTGTGCAGTTAGTCCGCCCGGCAATAGGAAAGATGTTATTGCACTTGATGCAACACAAAGCATAATTCGACCGTGCAATCTTAGCCAAGCAGCTAAAGTCCTCCACAAGTATGTCTTTCCAGTTCCACCATAACCATACACAAAAAACACGCCGCCCCTGCCGGAATGAACATATGTCATTATTTTGGAATAAACACCCTTCTGTTCATCGGTCATATGTGTCAGCAATGCATCATGCTCAATATCTAGAGTCTTACGGTCATAGTTAAGTTCATCCAAAACCAGACGGTTCGCACTTGAATTAATACTACCCATATCTGGAAATGACATAATAGAATAGTCTTTTATCACAAACCCAACCTAACTCAACCCAACATAATATTATTTTATATTTATTTATATATTTATTGAATATTATCTACAATATTTTTTTGTTATTGTTTTAGTTGTGATATGATAAAATAAAAGATATGATAAAATTGATAAGTTACGGTTAAGAAATTGCAATTATGTTCCAAAATATATCAAGAGTGGTCTCTATTTATAGAGAATGAAAAATAATTTTTTATTTATTTTTTCATATAAATTAATATCAATAATTTGAAATACAATTATCTTATTATAGAAAAATTTTATAGACCAATAAGAATGGGACACTTGCCCTATTTCACTCACCTCATTTTTGTCTCCCTCCTTGTGGCTAGGTTGCGATCTAGGATCACAATTTGACTTGAGTCGCAGATTTTGCTATTTTTTTATTTTTTTATTATTTTTTAGTTGGTGACCTAATAAAGATAGTATAATATTTATTTTATTTATATTTATTTATTTAATAAATATTATCTACAATACATTATTTGGTATTGTTTTATCTACAACCTAACCCTACATAATAATTTTAATTTTGTTCCAAAACATATCGAGAGTGGTCTCTATTTATAGAGTATGAAAAAATACGAATTTTGGTATTTTTTATTTTATTTTTTAAAATAAAATAATATCAATAATTTGAGTTATACTTATCTTATCATATAAAATTTATAGTGGACCAATGAAATTAGGACAAGTGTCTCATTCCTAATGTATGAAAGTTAGATAATATGGAATCTCCAAAAAATCTTCATGTAATTTTTTTATTTAGATTTTTTAATTTATTTATTTTTTCAAAATTTTCAAAATTGGTTGGATGGCGCTCGAATTTTAATTTTTAGCCAAAAATCTTTCTCATTTTATTCACTTTGGGCGGCGGGAATTGGCTTCTTTTTTTGGCTGATTTTTTTTTTTTTCTTTTTTCAAATAAATATCATTTCCTCATATTAATAGAAGATATGATACTTTAAAATGATTTATGAGCATGACTAAGGAACTTGATTTCATCTTAGATAGGATTTGGCTGAAAATTAGGATTTTGTTTGCACTGTGAAGTTAGAGCGTGTGGCTCGCGTGTATGGTATTTGTCAATTCGTTCTACGTGTGGCATATGATGAAAAAAAGTGTGGAAGCTGTTGATGAATGTCTTCAATTTAATACTTATAGCCATAAAATAAACAAAATACTTTTTTTTTGCCCTTTTTTTTAACAAATAATAAAAAGTACAAATTATTCAAAGATTTATTTATCATTTCTTGCCATGCGAGGGTTCAAAAGTTATATTCTTCCATTTATATTTCTCCATTTTTTTATACTACTGCGGTACCCGTACGATGCACGGGCTAATTTTATTAAGGTAAGAATTTAAATTTGAATAATTGGATGATTGTAAGAACGTGCTAGTTTTATAGTTTTATTAAGGTAAGAATATAGATTTGGTTGATTGGATGATTGTAATAACGTAAAATGCATGTATTTGATCAAAACAAAATGTCACTTATATATTATTAAACACATCCTTGCACACAACATTATTTGTTAGGTCTTTGGGTACATCGTCTATCACCACAAATTATATTAGGATTCTAGATAGGCTTAAATAAATCAATTAAATTATTTAGCAGGATATATATGATATGATTTATACTGATTTTATGAAGAATGCATACCATATATAATGAAAATTGTAAAACGTCTTTTTCGATAATCTATAACTTTATTATTTTGAAAGTGTAAATTAGTTAATTTATGGAAAGAAAAAATTGTGTAAGTTTATGCAATCCATTTCAAGTTTGTACTATAGAGGACTAAACAAATTTAGGATGTTCTAATCCTATTTCATTTTGAGTTTCAAATTAATATTACCTGACTCTATTTATGTTTAAAAAATGCAAACTAAAGAACGAAATAGCTAAATGATAAAGGATTTTTAAATTTTAATTTTCACATTGAAATTGGATTTGGTTTCTATGGAATCCGATTTTTTTTAATAAACATAATTTGTTGTAATTAGGTAAAGATACATGTTATAGTAATTTGCTAATTAAAAATTTTTGATTTTATGGTAGATATTTTTTATTAAAAAATGCGAGAATTTTGACTTTTACAAAATTATCGTGCCGAAATTTACCTAAATTAACCCGATTTTTATGAAATTTGATTTTTTTAATAAACAATCGATCTGTTGCAATTAGGAAAAGATACATGTGATCGTATTTTGCCTAATTCAAAATTCATGATTTTATGGTAATCAGTTTTTATATATAATATGAGAAAAAATTTTGACTTTTGCAAAATTGTAGGCATCAGTCGAAATTTACCTAAAATGAATTCACAAAACCCATGAATTCAAAATATGTTGAACCTACGTGGCAGATTATCACGCTTTGAATGCTGACATGGCGAAAATTTATGTTTCGTAATGTTGTTTATATATTCATTTTTACTCCTGAATTAGGCTTGATATTAGACATAAATAAAATATTCAAACTTGGTAAATGTATATTTAATTTTAGTATTTTTCTCTTAATACACATTTCCTTCTTAGTTTGGGCACGTAGCAATATTATCATATTATAATTTTCTCTCATATTCCTCTCCTAAATTACGATTTACAAATCATTTTCTGCACCGTCTATTCCTTATTTTAATCAATTAGCACGTCAAAAATTTTAAAATAAAAAAATTAATTTAGCAATAACTGTTACCATATATTTCCTAATTCAACACCTGTGTAGTACACTGGGTATTGTACTAGTAGTTTAATAAGACAAAGTTTATAATTTCACATGGAAACTGTATAATAATTAGAAACACTTTTATCATATTGGGTAACAAAAAATTTAAATACAAACTTACATTACTTATAAACATCAAGTACAATTGATTAAGTTATTTTTTTTTAAAAAAAAAATCTCAAAAATAAAATGAATTGAATAATAAAATTGTTTTTTTTTTTGTATAGTAAAATATATAAGAGATTATGAATAAATATTATATAAAATATAATCGTTAAAATTGATGTGATAGAAAAATAATAAAATAATTGATAATTGGCAATATTTGAATAGATAAGTAGTCGTGGATTAATATACCAATAAAGTTAAAGGAGAAATAAACTATAAATAGCTAAATAATGAATAATTTCAAAAAATGTATACACAATTATAAATTCATTGATAAAAAGTTTATTCAACGAAATATATTTGAGAGAAAACTTATATCTAATTCCTCACAACCTAATTTTTATAATTAGCTATTAAATATAAATTAAGTTGAGTTTTGATTTATTTTTTTGGTAAACTCTGAGTTAATTTTGAAAAAGTTTGTTTAGTGATGTTTGAGTGGAGTTTGAATTCAAGTTAAAATAAAATGATTAAAGTTGATTTATGTAAAAGTACAAGAGAGTTGATTGAAAGTGATGCATAATTAAAATTATGTGAGTGAACGAATAGTGTGTATTTATTCGAGATTTCATGTGACATTTTGCAACTTGTTAAGATTTGAGATTTTTGAGATTTATTATAAATTATGTGAAATTTAAGTATGAAGGTGAGATTTCATTTAATTTCATATATGATTATTCGTATTCAAATTCCAGTAAATTTTAAAGTCTTAACAAATTATACTATTAAATAACTTAAATAACTCCAGATTTTGTAAGAGTGATAATTTAATTACACCATAATTTCTAAGTCTCAAAAAGTCTTTAGAATCACAATCGAATGTATCCTCTTAAAGTTGAAGTATAAATCAAATACAACTGAATATCCAAGTGAAAAAAGATCATTAGAATTTTCCCAATGAATACACCCTTCGAACTTTAAAATTAATGTGATATTTGAAGATGATAAATTAATATTATTTAATTATATTAATAATAATAAATAGAGTTAAATTTGAGTCGTGATTGTGCTGACCAAACAAAGATTTATATATAAGCACCACCTCTTTTATTCTACCGTAAATTAGGGGAAAAAAAAATAAAAGTCAAATATGGCTTTTCCAATTTCCCCTCTTTCCAGCACAACACGTTTTTCAGCTATGACCAAATAATATTACTCCTATTAGGTTATTACAACTGACTATTTAAATATTTATAAAATGATTTGCCAATTATTAAAAATTAATAAAGCAAATTTACATTTTAGTCATGTTAGTTTAATTTAGTGATGTTTTTATTTATAAGAATTGAACATTTTCGCTATTTGGTCATATGATTTTAAAATTAACCACAATTTCAGTCATTTGATTCTGTAATTTTAATATTTTTTTTAGAAGTACGTTGAGACTAAAATTGCAGCAAAATATTAAATTACAGGATCAAAAGACAAACGCTTAAAATTTTAGAACTAATATTGCTACGGCGTTAAACTACCATGACTAAAAATGCAATTTTGCCGATAATAAATCATTGTCTATTTTATGATTTAGTATTGTTATTGAATTTTCTTTTTTCTATTTTCAATCAGACAAGTAAAAAAATAAAACTAAAACTTATGTATTAGTTTCTCTCTCTTACATCCACTCGTCGGACCTCCGATCTACAGAGAGAAATTCAATCGCCGGACATCAATCGGCGGAATTGATCTTCGCATTCGTATCATTCGTTCGTTGATTTTGCTGAGAGAAATTTCTGCATCGAGCGAGCAATTGAAAAACCTAGCTCAGCCGGTTGTTCTTTTTTTTTGGAGGGATTCCCCAAGCGGCGGTGCTGGCAGCTGGGGCGGAGGATCTCCAGATCGTTGGGATAGCCGCGGAGGCGGATTTGATGTTGAGGATTGCGTTGTCGTTTTGTAGGAATTGTTTTTGGGACCTGGATTTGGCGGAGGCGATTGGCGTCGATATTATTGGCAGCTGTGCTGTCGGCGGCGGCGTCGGTGGTGATTTGTTGAATTGTCGGAGGCTAGCTGTGGCGGCGGGGGAAGATGCAGCTGCACTTCTCACCTAGCATGAGAAGTATAACGATATCGTCGAGCAGCAGTGGGGGAATTTGCAATGGAGGCGGAGATTTGATGAAGATCAAGGTCGCAGCTCGTCATATTTCGTACCGCACGTTGTTCCACACTATCCTGATCCTTGCCTTTTTGTTGCCGTTTGTGTTCATTCTGACAGCCCTTGTCACCCTTGAAGGTGTCAACAAGTGCTCCTCGATAGGTACTCAGATGCTGCCGCTTTTTTTTTTTTCGATGGATATCTTTGTTGTCATGAATCTCGTGATTGATTTTGTTGTTTACCATGGTTTGGATTTTTGTGGGTTTTGATTGTTTCGGGAAAGTTGTGTTGAATATTGCTTGTTACTCATTTTTGTTAAGTTGTATAGATTGATATGGGGTCTGAATTGTGATTAGTTCGTACTGGGTCCGGTACCTCGTCTTATGATAGATCAGCTGGAATAGAAACTTACTGGTAGATGTAGAGACTATTGCATGAATCAAGAAAATAAAGGAAAAGGTTCTGTATCTTGTTTCGTATTCAGAATTTGCTGCTATGGCATGAATCAAGAAAATAAAGGAAAAGGTTCAGTATCATGTTTCTTATTCAGAATTTGCTGATCAAAGTTTACGTTAGTATCCATCCATCGTTTTGTTACCCTTTTACTATACACCCTGGCCGTTGCTTTTCTTCTGTAGCCTTTGTGAACCGTTACCGTTGCTTAGTTTCTATTTCAGGAAGTTATTGGATCGTTTCTTGAAAAATGTGTTTAACTTTGAAATTTTGTTTCAGATTGCTTAGGACGACGCTTGGGGCCAAAGTTTCTTGGTAGAAGCGATGATTCTGGGGTAAAATTGTTATAATTTTATTTGATAGTTTCCTTTTATTGACTGATTATTCGAGACATTTATCTAAATGCTCATTTATGACAATGATTCATTATATGGAACACGCCAAAACATTATTATTGTTATTTGTTATGGCAGAGGCTGGTCAAGGACTTTGTTAAGATCCTGAATCAAGCAAACTCTGAGAAAGTCCCGGATGGCCTGAAGCTCCCGGACTCTTTTAATCAGCTTGTTTCTGATATGAAAAACAATAAGTACAATTCAAAGGAGTTTGCTCTAATTTTGAAAGGAATGGTATGTGTTTTTCTCTAACTACCTCAGTCTTCATATTTTTACTTATGTATGAATCTCTTTCACTGGCATTGTGCAGAAGTATTGTTTATGATTTTTTTTTTTTT